CTTACTGAGGCTCATGCCCTCTGTGATTCAAAGCAGAAAAGGTCAGAGCAACTATTAAGAGAAGTTGATGTGCTGCTGACTAATGCCCGAAACGCCGGCCTGGCTATGAGAAAGGAGCGCGATCAAGCGTTGTACGAGCTGGAACAGGCCAAGAAGACAGTGGCGGCATTGACCAAGGAAAGGAATGACGTGCGGGCGGAAGCAATGGAAAAACAAGAACTGATAGAAGAACTGAAGGGGGCGGTAGTTATTGAACATACCCGGGGCTTCCGGAAGGCTTTGCGTCAGGTCGGACATTTGCTTGATGTGTCGACCGAGGGAGTGGATTTTGACGTGCGAAAGGACGTGTATGAAGGCCAGCTGAAACCTCTTAGCGAAATTCCTGAAGATGCCTTTATGGAAGCGGAAGGGGATGAAGAAGAAGAAGCGGTCACGGAGGATGAGCATGATGGAGCGGTCGCCGTGGATGAACCGGCTGTGGAGACGGTCGGGGATGCTGCTGGCGACTCGCCTAAGATTGTAATAGATTAGGATATTTCATGGGGATGTAATTACAAACATAAGTGTTTTTGAACTTTTGATGATTTTTGAATGTTTGAACTAGGCCTTGTTGAATTCTTTGAATGTTGAGCTATGATGCTTTTGAATTTTGAGCTTTGATGATTGTTTAAGTGTTCGTGGATTTTGTGAATCTTCCCTGTAACGACGTACGTGTTGAGCATTCGTCTAAATGAACGAACGTCGAAGACGATGATCGACTAAGAAGATGATATCTTAAGTGTCGATGTCGAGTGTGTTAATAGCGCCGTGTGCGACCGTCGAGGGTGAGGGTCAAATAGGGGAATACTGGGTGTTCAAGGGAGAACATCTACTAGAGGGAGTGTATCCCGAGCGGACTGGGTGTTCAAGGGAGAACATCTACCAATGGGAGTGTATCCCGAATGGACTAGGTGTTCAAGGAAGAACATCTACCAGTGGGAGTGTATCTCGAATGGACTGGGTGTTCAAGGAAGAACATCTACCAGATGGAGTGTTTCCAATTCGTTCGGATGTGGACGCGCATGAGGCGATCGACGACAACCCTGAGACTCGACATGCGAGAAATTATAAATGAAATGAAGTAATAATAATAGTGAAATATACTTTTTATTGGAAACTGAGATGAATAATGTCTCAAGAATAAAAATGAATGCTAACTAAATTAATATTTAAGATGAGTGACATTCCATGTGTTGGGAAATGGTTGTCCGTCGAGGAGTTGGAGGCGGTATGCACCATTCGCCATGTCCTCGATGATGTGGAAGGGTCCCTCCCAGTTGGCTGCGAGCTTGCCGTGCGCTCGGTTCTTCCTGGCCTCTCCCCGTTTTCGCCACACTAGATCGCCGCTTTTGAACGCTCTTGGTTTGACCTTGGTGTTGTAACGGCGAGATAGCATTAGCTTCTGCGCCTCTGCACGGACGGTAGCGACCTCTCGACGCTCAGGAAGGATGTCGAGATTCATCCGTAACTGTTCCTCGTTAAGCGTCATATAAGTGATATTTCGTCTTAACAAGGGTTCACCGACCTCGACTGGGAGCATGACATCAGTGCCATAAGTCAGGTTGAATGGTGTGTCCCCTGTGGATCCGTGTGGAGTGCACCAGTACGCCCACAAGACCTCGGGTAGCTCTTCCACCCACAAACCTTTGGCGTCGCCGAGTCGCTTCTTTAACTCAGTACGTATGGCTTTATTCGCGGCCTCGGCTTGTCCGTTTGTTTGAGGATGCTCGACCGAGGAGGTGACATGTTTGATGCCAAGGCTGCTGAGGAATTCCTCCAGTTTTCGCTCGACGAACTGGCGATCGTTGTCGGTAATGATCTTCTGTGGTAGACCGAACCGACAGATCAGGCGCCAGATGAACTTCTGCACTCGTTGAGCACTGATGACGGACAATGGTTCGGCTTCTATCCATTTGGTGAAATAGTCGACCACCACAAGGAGGAACTTGTTCTGTGCTTTGGCAAGGGGTAACGGTCCAACTATGTCGAGACCCCATTGAGCGAACGGCCAGGGAGAAACGATACCATGCAAGTCTTCGGGAGGTGCGTGGATGTCGTGACCGTGGGCCTGACAGGAGATACATTTCTTGACGAACGTCTCACGATCTTGGTCGATCGTGGGCTAGTAATATCCTGCTCGAAGTATGTGCGCTCTGAGGGTCCGCTTACCCGAATGAAACCCGCATATCCCGGTGTGCAGCTCGTGCAAGACATAGTCGGCTTCATCCTCTGAGATGCATTTCAATAGGGGAGTACTGTGGCCGCGGCGGTATAGGTCGTCGCCTATGCACAAGAAACGTGCAATGCGTTTTGAATCAGTCACAGTAATGCTTTCTCCTTGCTCCTGCTTCATCATTAGATCCTTGATCTTCTGTCGCCAATCTGTTGCTGGTGTTGACACATCGGTGACGAAAGCCTCGACGACTGGATAGTCGAGTGTCATCTTAATGATTGAGGATAACTGCGCTCTCTCCTTAGAGTGAGTTAACTTAGACAAGAGATCTGCTCTCGCGTTTTGGTCCCTGGGTACATGGACGACGCTAACCTTGGGGAAGTTTTGAAGTAGGGTCTGAGCTTTGTGGAAATAGCGTAGCAACTGATTATCATTAACCTGATAAGTTTCGTTCACGTGGCCGACCACCAACTTTGAATCCATCCTACACTCTAGACGAGCGACCATGAACTCTTTGGCCAATGATAGACCAACAATCAAGGCTTCGTACTCGGCCTGGTTGTTGCTGGCAGGAAACTTGAATGTGATGGCTTGCTCTATGACTAAACCATCTGGTCCTTCTAGGACAACACCGGCTCCTCCCCCGCTTCTGTCTGAGGATCCGTCCACGCTGAGGAGCCACTTTGGTGTCGAGTCCTCAGGTGCGGGCATTAACTCAGCTGCAAAGTTTGCCAAATGTTGACCCTTAACAGATCCCCGCGGCTCGTAACGAAGACCAAACTCTCAAAGTTCCACTGACCAAGAAACCATCCGTCCTGCTAAATTGGGCTTGCGGTGGATTTTGGCAATCGGGTGATCGGTGCGGACTACCACTTGATGGCTCTGGAAATACGGTCGGAGTCGACGCGAAGCCATGAGCAGGGCTAGAGCGACTTTCTCGATTCGAGAATATCTTTCTTCCGCCCCCTGCAGCATACGGCTGATGAAGTATATTAACTTGAGGGAGGGTGCCTTTTGTATCAAGGCAGCACTGACAGCATGGTGGGATGCTGCGATATATAGCTGAAAGTCGGATCCAGCGTCCGGTCTAGCCATAATTGGAGGGCTGGTGAGAATGTGCTTGACAGTGTTGAATGCTGTTTCGCAATCATCGTCCCAGTGTCGTGTGGTGCCCTTCTTCAAGTTCTTTAGGATGGGCTTGATGTGTTCGGCTAGCTTCGGAATGAAGCGAGACAGGGCTGTGAGTCTACCCACTAGACGTTGTACCTCCCTTAGAGTTTTTGGAGCAGCCATGTCGAGTACGACTTTGCACTTGTCTGGGTTAGCTTCGATGCCTCGACGCGTAAGCATGAAACCCAAAAACTTACCCGTCGGGACTCCGAAGGTACATTTGGAAGGGTTAAGCCGCATGCTGTATCTTTTGATTTGGCCGAACACTTCCTTTAAATCCCGCAAATGTTGCTCCATAGAATGGCTCCGAATGACCATGTCGTGGACATAAACATCCATGCATCGTCCTATCTGATGATGGAAAACTTTATCCATGAGGCGTTGATATGTAGCCCCGGCATTCTTCAAGCCGAACGACATTACTTCATAACAGTAATTGGCGCGTTCGGTAATGAAAGCTGTCTTGCTCTGATCAGGTGCGTACATGGGGATTTGGTTGTATCCCGAGTATGCGTCGAGGAAGCTGAGTATAACATGGATGGAAGCTCCGTCTACCAACCGATCGATGTTAGGCAAGGGATATGAGTCTTTAGGGCATGCTTTGTTGAGATCGATGAAGTCGACACACATTCTCCACTGGCCGTTCGACTTCTTGACCATGACTACGTTCGACAACCACGTAGTGTAAGTCAACTCCCTAATGAACTGGACGTTCATCAACTTCTCGACTTCGACTTGAATGGCCTTGCGTTTCTCTTCTCCGAACCGTCGCTTCTTTTGCGCGACAGGTCGTGCCTCTCGGAAGATAGACAATTTGTGGGCCATGACTCCGGGGTGGATTTCTGGCATATCAGCGGCCGTCCACGCGAACAAGTCCGTGTTGGTTCGCAGCATACGTCCTAGATCCTGTTCGTCATTCAAAGCGAGGTCCCCGCCAATGGTTGTGGTTTTGGACGCGTTCGCTGTCAATGAAAGGGATTTGACATCGCCTTGCGGATGGAGACGTTCGTCTACATTGATTCGGGGGTCCAATTCGACCGCCGCTGTTTCAGCTCCTCTCGCCCTTTTGGTTGGTACGAAAGGGGTGACTTTAAGCCCGGCAACATAACATTGTCGAGCCGTTCGCTGATCCGCCCTGACAGTGCAAATAGTGCCGCGCTCTGTAGGAAACTTCATGGCCAGGTGAGGGGTGGACACGATAGCTCCAAATGCATTCAAACAAGGCCGCACTAACAAGGCGTTGTATGATGTATTGGCTTCGACCAACAGAAAACTGACTCTAAGTTCTGGTGTCTCCCGACTTGTTCCGAGCCGCGTTCGTAGGTCGAGATACCCCGGGTGTCGACTCTTTCCCCTGAAAAGCCTACAATTTGTTCGTTGAAAGGGGCGATGAGGTCCTTGGATAGATCCATCTTTTTGAAGGTGGACCAATACAGGATGTTGATCGAACTTCCCTGATCGACGAGAACCTTGCTGACGTCGTACCGAGCTATATTGGCAGTGATGACCATGGGGTCATCATGATCAGGGTCTGACGCATGGAAATCTGCATTGGTGAACGTGATATCAGGGATCGACCAAGGCTGTCGATCGACCATGTGCACCGACTTTAGCTGCCTCAGATGTCGCTTCCTGGCGAAAGATGACACTTCCCCCCGGCGAAACCACCCGATATGGTGTCGATTCGGCCTCGAACTGAACGTTCTCTCTCTGTCCGCCGGGGTTGGCTGCGCAATCGCCTGCGGCGTCGGTCATCTCTAGGAGGTGATCGGTCGGGACTCCNAATGTGCTTGACAGTGTTGAATGCTGTTTCGCAATCATCGTCCCAGTGTCGTGTGGTACCCTTCTTCATGTTCTTTAGGATGGGCTTGATGTGTTCGGCTAGCTTCGGAATGAAGCGAGACAGGGCTGTGAGTCTACCCACTAGACGTTGTACCTCCCTTAGAGTTTTTGGAGCAGCCATGTCGAGTACGACTTTGCACTTGTCGGGGTTAGCTTCGATGCCTCGACGCGTAAGCATGAAACCCAAAAACTTACCCGTCGGGACTCCGAAGGTACATTTGGAAGGGTTAAGCCGCATGCTGTATCTTTTGATTTGGCCGAACACTTCCTTTAAATCCCGCAAATGTTGCTCCATAGAATGGCTCCGAATGACCATGTCGTGGACATAAACATCCATGCATCGTCCTATCTGATGATGGAAAACTTTATCCATGAGGCGTTGGTATGTAGCCTCGGCATTCTTCAAGCCGAACGACATTACTTCATAACAGTAATTGGCGCGTTCGGTAATGAAAGCTGTCTTGCTCTGATCAGGTGCGTACATGGGGATTTGGTTGTATCCCGAGTATGCGTCGAGGAAGCTGAGTATAACATGGATGGAAGCTCCGTCTACCAACCGATCGATGTTAGGCAAGGGATATGAGTCTTTAGGGCATGCTTTGTTGAGATCGATGAAGTCGACACACATTCTCCACTGGCCGTTCGACTTCTTGACCATGACTACGTTCGACAACCACGTAGTGTAAGTCAACTCCCTAATGAACTGGACGTTCATCAACTTCTCGACTTCGACTTGAATGGCCTTGCGTTTCTCTTCTCCGAACCGTCGCTTCTTTTGCGCGACAGGTCGTGCCTCTCGGAAGATAGACAATTTGTGGGCCATGACTCCGGGGTGGATTTCTGGCATATCAGCGGCCGTCCACGCGAACAAGTCCGTGTTGGTTCGCAGCATACGTCCTAGATCCTGTTCGTCATTCAAAGCGAGGTCCCCGCCAATGGTTGTGGTTTTGGACGCGTTCGCTGTCAATGAAAGGGATTTGACATCGCCTTGCGGATGGAGACGTTCGTCTACATTGATTCGGGGGTCCAATTCGACCGCCGCTGTTTCAGCTCCTCTCGCCCTTTTGGTTGGTACGAAAGGGGTGACTTTAAGCCCGGCAACATAACATTGTCGAGCCGTTCGCTGATCCGCCCTGACAGTGCAAATAGTGCCGCGCTCTGTAGGAAACTTCATGGCCAGGTGAGGGGTGGACACGATAGCTCCAAATGCATTCAAACAAGGCCGCACTAACAAGGCGTTGTATGATGTATTGGCTTCGACCAACAGAAAACTGACTCTAAGTTCTGGTGTCTCCCGACTTGTTCCGAGCCGCGTTCGTAGGTCGAGATACCCCGGGTGTCGACTCTTTCCCCTGAAAAGCCTACAATTTGTTCGTTGAAAGGGGCGATGAGGTCCTCGGATAGATCCATCTTTTTGAAGGTGGACCAATACAGGATGTTGACCGAACTCCCCTGATCGACGAGAACCTTGCTGACGTCGTACCGAGCTATATTGGCAGTGATGACCATGGGGTCATCATGATCAGGGTCTGACGCATGGAAATCTGCATTGGTGAACGTGATATCAGGGATCGACCAAGGCTGTCGATCGACCATGTGCACCGACTTTAGCTGCCTCAGATGTCGCTTCCTGGCGAAAGATGACACTTCCCCCCGGCGAAACCACCCGATATGGTGTCGATTCGGCCTCGAACTGAACGTTCTCTCTCTGTCCGCCGGGGTTGGCTGCGCAATCGCCTGCGGCGTCGGTCATCTCTAGGAGGTGATCGGTCGGGACTCAGTCTGGAGGAGTCCTTACGATGAGGAGTTGCAGCTCTAGTGAAGATTCTATCCTTGACGTAGTTCTGGAGGTAGCCTGCTCGGATGAGTCGCTCCAGTTCGTCCTTCACCATGTTGCATTCTTCTGTGTCATGCCCATGGTTCATGTGAAACCGACAAACTTTGCTACTGTCAGCGTTCTTTAGAGTAGCCTTTCGCCGCACGGTTAAGAGTTCGACGTGCAAAGCCTCTTCGAGCACCTTTGCTCTCGTTGCGTTGAGGGTCGTGTAACGATCGTACTTAGACGTCCACCCTGACTCTTTACGGGGTGTTCGGTCTGATTTATAGTCGTTGGTCGATCGCTTTGCGGGTTTCTTTGCATCGTGATTGGGGTTATCCTGCTGCTGCTTCTTTCTAGAATTCCGGAGATCTTCGATGCGGATGAACTTTGCAATTGTGGATTGCAGTTCTTCCATAGATACTGGCGGGTCAGCATATAATTGTTCCGCAAAATACCCCGGCCTTAAGCGCGAGGGTAGATTGCTGATGATGAAGGTGTGGTCGATATCTTTCACACGCCGGGCCGTCTCGTTGTACCGTTGCATGAAAGCCTTTAGGGTTTCATCCTTCTCCTGCTTAGTATTCACAAGCTCAGCAGTAGTCATCTCCGGTCTTCTGTTTGTCGCGTACTGCTTTCGGAACAGAGTTTCGATTGTTGCGAAACAGTCTACTGAATTTCGTGGAAGAGTGTGGAACCATTCCAGGGCCTCATCCTTAAGGGATAAGGAGAAAGCTCTGCAAATGACGGGGGTCGTTGTCTGTGTAGAACACCATGGCGTCTATAAAGTTGCGCAGGTGGTTGTCGGGATCGGCGGAGCCATCATAACGTTCTAACGCTGGGGGAGGCTTATCTGGCATGTGCGCTTGCATGATGGCCTCCGTGAATGGGAGCAGGTTGGAGAGGCGTATGGAAGTAGGCCCCTTCCTCCCCCAGTCGAAAGGGTCAGACAGTCCTCCATGATGGCTCCCTTCATTATCGTCTTGCCGATTTGAGGCTGACAATTCTGGCGGTGGGCGCTGCGCCCTTAGTGCCGCCAGCTCCTCAGCCTGCTTGCGTTGGAGCTCTTGCTGCTCCCGTATAGTTTGTGCTTGTGCCTCAATTTGTGTCTGCAACTGCTTGATCAAATCGCGAGTGTTGAAGTCTTCCATTGCTCCGGTGGTCGTCGTTGGGATATCAAATCTCGGCCCCACGGTGGGCGCCAAAATGTTTCAGTAGGGATGTGGAGACCGAGATACGAACCTAACAAACCTCAACTGCTCCTTCCTGCGATGCTGTTACTGTGCTAAC